ACCTTTTGCATATACCAACGTTAACATCGCCAGTCTTTATGGAAAATGAGCTATAGATAGCAGGAAGGATAACTGACGGGTTTCTTTCCTTTTGTATTGCTGTGGATTGGATGAAAATAAAGTATGTTGACCAGAAAGACAACGAAGAAGGTTCTACAAGAGTTATACAGGTGCGAAGGATGTTGTTTCGTGGTGAAGGATGGTTATTATTATTATTGATATTGCATGGCAGAGCGTCTGGTGCCATGCACAGTCTCGCATTTGTGAACCTATTTGTAGCCACACAATTCTGAGATGCGATCCTTGAAGATCTGCCATCGAGCAGTAGGAACGCACACGATTTCATTAGGAATGAGTGCAAGAACTCCACGTACAGTCGAGTGAGAGAGAGCGTAGCGAGTCGTCAAGGGTAGTAACTTGTCGGTTGTTCATAGTTGTTTTTATTAACAATAAATGAAGTTGCTGTTGTAATAGCAAAGAAACTTCCTCCTTCATAACAACAAACGCCTTTTCTTCTTTATCCCTGCCATATTATCATCACCGCTCAGAGCTATATCTATAGTTTTTATAGAAGCACTTGTAATAACATGCAATCCCATCTCACACCCGTTTATGCAGACAGCTGAAACATAATGACTACATAATGTATGATCTTTTACTTTTATTTTTTTCATCCCAACCATAACATCTACAGTAACAGTAATAAAACCCTACATACCACCCATCAGCATATATAACTACCTTATCCATCAAGACCGGCAATGTTCGTGTTGGTATATGCAAAAAGAAAAAGGTAATCGTTGTTGCCATCGTGTGTGTGCGAGTACAGTGAATTGCAGAGCAGGATTATAGTTGTGGTGGTGTGTATGCATCATAGGAATATAATTATCATCGCATTGATGTGAATACAAACAGCAAAGAAAGAGATGACCGTCATTACGATGATGATGTGCTTGAGCGTACAAGTATTAAAACAAAAAGACCGGCGTCATAGTCGTCATCGTGTGATATGGGCGTACATGATAGTGAAAAATAAATGCGTCAGGCTGTATATTTTGCAAGTCAATGGCGGATCAGCGTCATGTTGTATACAATTATGTATGAGTAATGGAGAAGAAGATTGTTGCGTCGTTCTTGTTGTGAGTACAAATGGTTTATGCAGGTAGAGGACGATGTTGTATTACGCACGTAAGTTTGACGTTGGATTGGTGCAAGATGGTGCATCACGTATATACAGAGAAAAAGAGAAAGAAGCAGTAATTCTGAATGATAATATCTCCACTAAAGCTATACCTCAAGCATAACCAATAATCTTTTCCTTACCTTATTCACTTATCCAGCGTTTTTTCAAGCAGCAGTAACGGCGGTCTACTCCTTTATAAATCTTGAGCACATGCTTTTTTCAAGAAAACAGTTACCTTCATTTCGTTTTTCAATAAATCCGTGGATTGTGCCGTTTTGTTTTCCTTGTTTTTTATTCATCGTCAAGAGAGTAGGAGCCATTTACAAGTATGCGTTGAAGCTGTTGATTTGCCATGGCAAATGGTAATGAGAAAAAAAAGGATCTTTGGTTATTGTTTTTTCCTCCCTGCTGCTGCTAACAAACCCCACACTTTCCACCTACCTCTGCCACCAGCCTCCAATTTGTTTCAAACTCAACCCAGGTAAAGTGAAATAAGGGGAAACACTCAGGCCCTGTTCCCACAGTAGCAAAATAGGCTTATGCGCACAGTGAGTCTCTGACGCACCCTTGCCATTTCCTGTACATTAGCCTACAAGCTTCTTGTCACGAGTGAAACAGCCATACTACTACATCTTGACATTGGCTTTGTACTGCTAAATTCTATTATGTCTTGACTATAATTGAAAATTTTAAGTACTCATATATTCTGCTGTGCTACACTTAATATATTATCTACTTCAACTTTTATTATGTCTTAGTTGACTAAAACAATGTCCAGGTTGACTGTTATTATGTTCAGGTTGTCTATTATTCATGTTTAGATTGATTATTATTCTTGTCCAGAACGATTTTCATTCATGTACAGATTGATTTTTATTTTGTCTAGATTGATTATACTCATGTCCAGATCGATTTATATTCATGTCCAGGTCTTTATATTCATATCCAGATCGTTTTATATTCATGTCCAGATCGATCTTTATTCATGTCCAGGTCAATTTTATATCATGTCCAGCTCGATTTTCATTCATATTTAGATCGATTTTCATTCATGTCCAGCTCGATTTTCATTAATGTCTAGCTTGATTTTCATTCATGTCTAGATCAATTATTATTCATGTCCAGATTAACTTTTATTCATGTCCACTCAGATTAACATTCATGTCTACTCTGCCTAAAATTAAATCCCTTCTGCCTAAATAAAAGTTCAAACGTCTGCTAGGAGATGAAAAATCCTGTATGAACAAGTTTATCTACTAAAATCTTTTTAATATCATCAATACCTTTAATATGTTTTAATTCTGTACGATGCTTGTAATTATAATTAACAATTGGCCAGTTATATTCCAAAAATTCCCACTTATTAACAATAATTTTGTTAACTTCATTATTAATCTTTTCATCTATTTGTTGGTTATCCATTGTAATATATTTTTATATTTAATTAAAATTCAATTTTTTTTATATTCAATTTTAAAAACATAATAATTTTGTAAACATGAGGAATTTTTATGAACCTTAAATATTTTGTTGACCTTAGTTTAGATGAAAAACTTCAACTAGTAAACATCCTCCCTATGGAAATATGACCCCTTACTAACAGATTTTGTAGTCCTATTACAACAGCTCTTTGTGCAGTGCCATTTAGGACGTTTTTGATTTGGAGGCCAGGTAATATGCATCTCAGAGCCATTATCACAGTACATTGTTTCATTGAAGGCACCATTTTCGATTAGAAAACTATTTCAAGTAAATTTTTATAATAAGTAAAACTATTTATCATATATTACTTATAAATAAAAATAAAGTGAAACCCTTATGAGATAGCATCACTAGGCTTTGCAATCAACTCGGCAAATCTCCTTATAGAAGGGAATTGGTTATTAGGGTGGGTAAAAGACATGCTAAATTAAAAATGGATAACATTGAGGAAGATGAGATACTGGTTGGAAAAATTATACTTAGCCCTTTTTATATTCTTAGAGTGTTCTTTTTATTTCCACAGCAATATTATTTAGTAATCAGTATTATGTCATTCTTCTCACACAGATTTATATTTGTCATCTACATTCCCGTATATGTCATTCTTTTTCCCATATAACAACGTTTCTTTTCCCATGTAACAAGGTTCTTTTATAAAATGCAATTATCATACTTACTACTGATAACCCTTGAGCTTTATATCTTTCTCTAATTGAAATTTCGATCAAATATACCCTTATCCCTTAGATATCATAGTAGCGACTACTTATCTTCTAGTATTTCTCTGAGCTCAACACATCTCGCTATAATATAGCTTTTAGTAGTATGTTTCTGTAGCTATTATACCTAGTTATATAAATTTTCAAAATTTTAAAAAAGGGAACGTTTACAAAAACTGACCTCTTAGCTTCAAATGGCTGGTTCTCTTGCAATTTCTGTGCTGTGGCTTAGCAAATTGGAGATATCAAATTTCAGATATTGAACTATATATATCTAGAATTTGAGGTCCGATGCGTGACTCTATCTATAATTAGAGGGGGTACCTATATTGCTCATTAGCCGATAAAATGATCAGATTACAAAATGACCTGCTTAATATGGCTATATCAAATGAAGAAATGATTGTTGATAATAAATCTGATAATAGTTCAAATCAGAGTAATAGTGATAATGATGATGTTCCATAATTTAATGAGCGTAGTAAAAAAAAAAGCGAAATAAAGGGAAACAACGAGCAATAGCATCATATGAAATAGAAGAGATTATTAGGTATAAAACTGAAAATGGTACATATTTGTTTGAAGTAAAATGGGTTGGATATAGTGCTGATGATAACAATTGGTTATCAATTGATAAATTTAATTAAAGGATTTCTTGAAGGAATATATCAATAAGCATAATCTTGGTATATTATAAAATTGCATACTCTGGGTAATATATCATTGATATCATATTATTTATAAATATTGATTGTATTTAAGGAATGATTGAATTGAAACATAAATAAAATGGGTTTCCTATAATAATTTTACTAGGTTAAGTTTTTTTCTTTTTCTTTTTCTTGTTTTCTTTTTTTTCAATTTTCTCATCTTCAATGTTATTAGATTTGTAAACAACAAGTTTTTTATTTTTAGGAATATGAAGCTTACTATGTTGACAGCAAAGGTAATCCTTTTTACTATCAAATAAATTTGTTCTGATTTTTCTACCACAAAACTGACCATCACGTTTTCCTTTTTTAAATTTATAGGTACAAAAATCATTATTTATACTCAAGTATAGAAAGTAGTTAGTTGAAAACAATGACTTTATTTTATTTGTAATTTCATTTTTAATTTTCTACAATATTTTTATTAATGTAAGAATCCAATTCATTTTCCATTAATACATCTAATTCTTTGTTAAGATTATTACATAATTGGATATGGTTGATTGGGAGGAATTCATTTAATGCAACCATTTTGATTGAATCTTTGAAACAATTTCTTTTTTCAAATACAAAAATTCAATTTTTGTCAAAAAGTAATTGAGTTTGAATTTATTTCTTGGCATAAATTAAATATAGGATCATATATAATATTTCTAATTTTTAACTTGTAAATTTTAATATGCTTCTTTACAAAATAATGCTCACCATTATAAATTTTATCACTTTTATGTACTAAATACTTTTTTTGATGAACATATTCAGTAATACTTATAATATTTTCTTCAACTGGTATATAACAGAATGTAGATAAATCTTCAATACCTGGCATTCCTTTCTTACCAATTATTTTTATATATACACAAAATTCAGTTTTTTGTACAATTTGGATTCTTACAGCCAATAGTATTATCTAATATCTAATTAGAGTTGGATGTCCCCCATACACAAAAAAAGACTTACTGTTTTGTCAGTTGCGTTTGAACGTGATGATTTGTAGGACGATTTTTTGGTACTACTTCTAGATAGAGAGGGATACAGTGGCGATTGCAGCTGTCCTCTACAAGAGTGCTGTATAATAAAATATTAAATAAAAATCAGCTGCCAAAAATTCTCTGTCGGTATTATACCTTTAAAAGCTCTTGCATAATTGCTATCTAGTCCGGTTGCTGCTTGTTCCAATTCTATGGTTACTTGGTCAATAAGCGGCTCGACCTGCAAAGTTTTAGAAAAGATGACAACGTTGACTTACTTTTACCCCGAGTTCTTTCACAGCTTCGACGAAGTAGTGGTTCCACGTGCCTTTGATATCATTGAAATTACTGTGCTGTAAAATAATTTCGGGAGTGAACTGATGGAATCTATTAAGAGAGACAACATCTGTTTCTGTGGTGAGGTATGTTTTGAAAGCTGTAGAATTGCGTTTATATTAGATATGTGTGAAGAAATAATAAAACACCTGAGAATACCTTCACGAAAGTTGCTGATAGCTAAATCTGCTGTTGTAGACGCGTTAGAAGGGTTGGAGGACGACATGTTAGGAATTAATGATGGAGGAGCAGTCAAAGAAGCGTTGCCATGGGAATGGTTGGCAAGGCAATCTGTTGAGTTGCTCTATTCATCAAGAAAAATTATGTCAGAGGAATTTTTAGTCAGTCACAAGCACAGAGAAATTCCAAGTTCCATATTGCAAGTCCAACAACTGTATCCAGAAAAAAATATGCTAAGTCTAACCAAGAGTATCAGAAAACAAAATATATGATGTAATAAGTATCTTTGCTAAAAATTTATAATGATGTTTATTGTTGACGAGAGGGACGTGCATTTGGATTGATAATTTTTTCTATGTCTGTGTATAGCCTTTTTTGTAGAACAATCATATTCTCTAGTTGTGTTGTAGATATGTTTGTTTTGTTTTTTGCAGATAGATTATCAAGTTGATTTTTCTAGCATTCATATTCGGCGAGCAGATCATTTCTATGCTGCTGCTGCTGCTGTAAAGATGGTGGTGGTAGTTGCACAGATGCTGTTAATGTTGTTGACGACGAAAATAATAAAGATGATGCTGGTAATGATGATGACGATGATGCTGTTGCTGTTGAATGGCGAGGAAAACTTTGGTTTATGATTACTGGAATGGTGGTGTTATATGCGATAAGATATATATGCTTGCATGGCTGGTTACGCTTTTTAAAATCTTCACAACTATAAGAACCAATAACGCCATTGCTATCTGTTTCTTCAAACTTTAAAGTATACATTGCAGAACTAGTAAAAGATTGACAGGTAACCTATTGCCACAGTACAATTAGCAATTGTAAAAGTAAACGCACACATACAAAAACGATACATACAAGATCATCATGAAAAGTTATCATCCAGTCAGCTTTACCTGGTAATTTTTTGCAAGCTTCTTTTTTCTTTGTTGAGCTTCTCTAGTCGCTGTTATTTCTTCAACACCAGCTAAAACACGCAGGACTTGAGCACGATAGTCATTTTCGACCAACTGCGTCAACACATAGATTACACGATCAGCAAAATGATTGCGACTGTATGGAAGATATTTGCATTTAAGTTTGGAATGCCAGCTTTTGATCAGATTATTTGTATGGAAGGACGCATTCTAAATATACAACCGTAAATAACATTGAAGCACAAAATAAAGCTAAAACGAGCCTTAAACGTACCTCTCTCCAAGCCTTGCACTAAAGATGATGCTTAGGATACCAATAGTCCAGCACATAGCCATAAAATTCAAAATGCTCGTATGTATCTCGGCATTTTTTACCAAATTCATCCCAAGCCTGCACAAATTCAACAACAGTTTTGCAATTCATCAAAGCACCAAGGGCAGAACGAGCTTCATCTCTTCTTTTCTTCGTATTTGCTATTGACAGAGTAGTTTTGATTTATAACTCAACATAGAAAAAAAGAAGGTTATATTGAATATACGATAATGTGGCTAATAAAAGGTACCTTGGACGTGATGTGTTTTTCCCATGCTCTTTTGATGTGCCAATGACACAGAAGAACTTGAACTTGATGACCATAAACTGCTCTGATGCTGTTAATTTCAACTGGACTGCAATCGATCATGCTCCTTGTTGGTGTGTATTCGATTCTGTCTCGGAGCCATCAAAACCATACTTGCAAATTTTCACTATCTTCTTTATCTGCGATCATAAACGCAAGAGGGTAACCTTGTCCAGCAACTGTATGCATGGCAACGATAGAAAATAGATACGCATCAGCCCGACCATTGATGATAGATTTGCAAGTCTTGTGTGTGGCATCAATACAGATCTCATTTGATTTCTTGAGCAGCTATAAAGCACATACGCATCTTAATATACGAACATTGCATTATATTTAAGTATATATCTTTTCTTACCAAAGCTTGTCGTGGTGGTATCCATGCAACAACAAAAGTAGAATCCGTGATATATTCCAACGTTTGATAACCTTGATCTTTTAAAAAGAGAAGCTACTTGACTATACTTTCTTTATCGATTAAATCTTTTCTTGCTAATCTTGACTGTTGGTTGGCGATGATATTCATGACATGATGCTGCTTCACACATAAGGCTTCTGGGAACGGTCCTTCGCCTTCCTCGAGCTGATACCACATGTTAGCATCTTTACAGGTTTATATCAAAGTTTCGCTTCACATGTATACATGATACTTTGGAAGTTGTTTATCAGTCGAACACAGATGTTCCTAAATTTGATCCCACTCCAACCTGTTATTAACAAGTTCTTCGATCCATTTACGTGTTTCAGTGGGGAGTTGTGAGCGAGTAGCATTGGTTATCTCAGTAGGGTCATAGTGTTGATGTTGCCAGTGATATACAAGTTTGATTTTGCTTGAGAATAAGTATTGAATACGGTATCGAGCACGACAATTTACTTTAATAGATGGTTTTACAAGTCGACGTTTTTTTATGGGAGCAGGTTCAGTTGAGTCTATAGGCAGAGCAGGGACAGCTAGAGCCGATGTTTCTCTTGAGTGATCACAAAAAAAAGTGACACTACGTTCAACTGTCCGAGGACAGCTGGCATTATTTCGGCGTGCATCTGAAGCCTTGGGTACGGAGATGTGCTTGTTGTTGGTGATGAAGTTGGCATACTGCTTGGGGTTTTCTTTAACCCACTCGTCAAGTTGTTGCTGGTTGTCAAAAGTCTCTGTAACTACTTCGGTCAGGTAGGTGGGAAAGACACGGACAAGGTATCCAAAGCTATCAGATGCAGAGGCCATTGTTGTAGGTGAGCAATTGACAAAACAACAAAGGTACAGTTGCGACGCATCGCTGTGGGAACTTGAAAAAATTTTACTCTGTGATTGAAAACTTCTCTGACGTAATTTTTCTTGATGAAGAACGAAACCGCAAATACACCTGGGGCACGTGGCTCTTAGTGACGTATTCAAAAATCGCAAGGCGCCATTGATTGCGAATCATCAAATACTCTCATCAGATACTCTTATTCCTTCGCAATTCTTTTCAATCTTTCTATTAAAGAGGACCACTGTGTGTATTGTCCGAGTGGTGGATGTGGAATAACTATGTAGTTGAGGCTCATAGCCCCTCAGCATCCATTAGCGATTTCTATTTGAATTTTTGCTCGCCTATTGAATTACCTGCCTTACAAGAGTCCCTTCCGACCAGGTAAGTTGTAATTAGCATAAAAGTGCTCAGAGTCAACGGTAGTATTCATGTATACTTGATCCATTACCAAATATAATCAATCTTCATGTAGCATTTTGGATGGTCAACAAGCTTAGGAGGTTTTGTTTTCTTTCCTTTTTTCTGATTCAAACCCTTTTAAAAGTAACATTCGTACGTGCAAACTAGTTTGTCATCCATATGGCAATCCCGAAGCTTCATTACTGCTAATTTGAATATGGGAACGTGAAACTCACAAATACGGTCTGATACTGAACGAGGAAAATTGGAACTTAACGATAACAGCATGCAGAAGCTTGTAAAGACGCAAAGGGCACCTCACTGCAGCCGTGGTCGTATGGATTTGAGGTAATGTTTAGGTCTTTGTTTATGTTGTCACGCGTCTTCATTTATACATCTTTCTCAGTGAATACTCATTGTATAGTTCCCATCGCGATTTCGGTCACTAGTTCTACTGTTACATCTCTAATAAACTGATGTCTTAAAAAGATGGAATAAAAGGCTCGCTATATTCTTATTCGTCTATGTGATGACGACATAATGGATGCAATGAGTGCACTTTATGGGTATATTGTCCTGATTATAGCGATCAATCGTCTGTGCCAATGCATCTGCGTTAGAGACAAACCTCATGTATGCAATGAGCTATGTAGTTGTGTTTAGTCTCAAGGAAAAAGAAACATGCTCTGTCGTACAACTATGTGATATGCTAATTTCAATGTATGCATTTTGTAGAAAACAAACAAAGCACTCAGAAACAACCTGACAAAAGCACAGTGGGACTCATTTGAGCAAAAACACAAGGTCCTGGTTCCTGAGCGCAAATAATTCATTGGTGATGTTTACGTTGAAGATGTGATATACAATTTTGCCGAGACTCAGCTTTACGAACAGTAAGTAGTCTATAATCTGTGGGTTTATCTGTAACCCTACTGGTTAACCACATCTTTAACGCTGCGCACTCTTTATTTTGAACCTTAGGAGATCCTTGTTGGAAAACCGGATTCACCACATCTCAACTTCAAAAAATTGAGCAACAAAATGCTCTTCCACTTCCAGCTCTAACTAAAGACGATATGCAACAAAAGAAAATTGATCAATTCAGTTAATAAGTAAACCGTGGTCGATGAAAGCACGTGCAGAATCTGCAAGCACCGATGATACAGTATTTGGATAGACGCGTCAATAATCAATTCATCGTATACTTTCATTTGAGATATCAAGATGGATTGGGTATTGTGCTGACATTTTCTGTTGCGAGACGATCTTGTACTCTACTACTGGGTAAGGGTATAGATATATAAATCGAACGCAAAAGGGTGCCTGTAGTTGTGTAAATGTAATAACACTTTTTCAAAAAGGCATGATCGAGGAGGCGCCTCTCAATGTCGTATGATGTTTGACATGGTCATCAATACAACCGGTTGCACACGACACAGTGGGATCCTTGGCTACCTGATAGCCTTTTTTGGCAAAAAACCAGCATTTCGACAGTTGTGTTGGCTATCGGGTTATCAACGGAATTAGCCTTCCTATTTGCAACAATGGCGGCAATAGGCGAAGAAATTGGAAAGCCTCATAGCCAAAGGATTCTTTCACTGTCAAGTAATGAAGAAGAAGAGACGAACACCGCCACAGTAGCACAGACAATAGCTGATGAAGCAAGTAGTAATGCACAAGGGCTCAATAACAACGACAGCAGCCGTCAGCCATCATTGACAATACAACGTCGAACTTCACATGTCTCTACTCGAAGTCAAAAATTACCAAGGAGATCCACAGCATCAGCAAATGCAACCCTCAACTGCGATTCAAGCATGGACAGACAGGCTTTATGGTCGTTGTGATTTTAAACGTAAACGGAAAGCCCCATAAGCAAGACAATGCATAGTGCGCCGCCACCTTCATCTGGAACTGCTAGGGAGCAACGTCAGTTTCGTGATGGAAATGATGGTCTAAAAGCAGTAGATAATGTGGTAGTACTTTAATAATGTGCTCTTTTCAATGTATATGCGGATATACTCCATCATTGTCAATGTAAACAAGAAATATAAAGTTTGGATGTGTAATAGATCTCAAAGAACTCCACAATGGTATGCATTTTACTCCATTTATTACCACTATTGTCGGGTAAAGGAAACGACCTCATTCATTGTTGGTTGCTGTTCCTATTGTACAGTAAAAAAGATGCTATTACTTATACTGGCAAATAAATGAATTACTCAATATATATGGCGGCCCTCATACATATCCTGCATCAAGATAATAATATATAACGTTGAAGGAGGCCAGGCACGAGAAGTTGGGTGCGTAATGATCCCTTTGTAAATAACCCATCTAACTAGCCATTGCCTCACGTATCTCATCGATGATGATTGCTTAAAAAAGTGATGAAAATGGGGAGAGAAATATATAGTGCTAGGTTTTAATTGTTATTGGATGAGTCCTGCTCATCATCCTCGCGGTTTCTTTTCTACGGTACAACTGTGGGTGTTTCGATGTAATTCAGTGCTGAAGGGATGATCAGCTTATGCTGCCTTTTTGCCAAAATGGACACAAATCCTTCCTCCTCATCATCGGTACTAGCCAGTGAATTTTCCACTGCTTTGATTGTTGCTTTGATTATGTGCTAGATAATTTATGGTTAGTACAGAAAACTAATCCTTCAAATACTACTTTCATTTTTATCGCTTCACTAACCTTCAGATGATAAACTTGTTTTAAAAATTTGATATATATGTTATAAAAATTTCTGAGCTCGCAAGGTATTCAGATTTCTTCGAAGTGTTTTATGCGGCAGGTGTAACCAGCTGGAACATCCATGATTGAAGTGTAACGCATAGGTCTATGGAATTAGTCAATAAACTATTCTTTGTCATTTCTTGTTCAATGCAGTATAAAAGTAACTTACAAGTATAGGAAAATCCTACTATACACAGGGAGCGGATTCCCACCTCGTCATTTCCCATCGGGGATTAATGCTTAGTAGTTGTTTAGAAAAGGTTTAATTAATTAAAGGTATATCATTGTTTAAAGATGTATATGAAAAAATTAAAAATTATATTATAATTTTTTTATTTTGAAATGTTTAAGATAATTTTTTAAACTTTTTTTAATTTGTATAATATGTTTATGTTTCGTATAAACATGTTTAAACTGTTTAAACTATAATATTCTTTTATGTTTGATTTAAACCTTATGGTGGCGCAACTATAGTGAGCAAATCCCTTCTCTTAGCCGAGGAATACTTGGACGAAGGCTAGCTTGACAGTGAAATCCTTAACTAAAATTAATTTATTATTTACAGTAATATTAATTGTTATAGATTGATACTTATCTCCACAGCAAGGCTCAGCATCATATCTTTCATATTTTTGGGCAGCTTGACGAGCTTTTCCACAAGTTCTTTTGCTCCTACTCCAGCTTCATTCAAATAACCATGTTCAGCCGAAGTAAATTCCAGTATGTTTCTTACGATTATAAGGTCAGGCTTAATGCTGTGAACCTTCTGTTTAATCGAGTCATCAGCCGCATGTCTCTCTTCATTGTGGCGTGCTGATGATGCAGCAGATTGTTGGTCGCTTCTGAATGACAAAAATACTGTAAGTTTGAATTCTTATATCAGTACTCTTTTTACTGTTACTTCGATCAGTACCATTGGACTTCCACTCCTAAATCATCGAAGCAATCGTCGATAGCTCGCCCCAGCCATAGCATATCCCGTTCTTTGCCCCTTGATGCCAGTCGGGCCATCACACCCCAATGATACGCTGATACTGTGTCAAGAATGCATCGTTTTGCCCAGTTAGCATCAAACTGACTGACTACGTCAAAGTGAGCATGGTTGGCAACGTGGTGGATCTCATTGATGTTAGTCTATTATATGAGTTTTTTAAAGTTATAATCTATCGCTCCATTTCTCACAAAGTTTATATACAGATATACCAACTCCTTGAACTAGGAAAAAAAATCGTTAAGATGCTCAGGTAGAGCTGGAACTGGAAGAGCATTTTGTTGCTCAATTGCTTGAAGTTGAGATGTGGTGAAAACAGTTTTCCAACAGGGATCTCCCAGGTCCAAAATGAAAGAGTGAGCAGTGCTAAAAATGTGGTTAACCAATAGTTACAGATAAACCCATATATAATAGATTACTTACTGTTCACAAAGCTGAGTCTTGGCAAATTTGTAGATCACATCTTCGACGTAAACACCATCAATGAGCTACTTGCGCTCAGGAACCATGGCCTGGTACTTTTGCTCAAATGAGTCCTACTGTGCTTTTGTCAGTACGGTCTAGACACCGAAGTTAGAAATGAAATTAGCATACACATTAATTAAGCACAGCGGGATGTGCAGTACTAAATTGGCTATAAATTTACAATAGTTTTTGATAAATCTAATAAATTGCTTGCTACTATATTAAATTATATCATCGATTTCGATATTTTATCAATTTTATGACATCATGTGACCAAATCATGCATTCAATGATTATAAAAATTGAAAATCCATAATATAAATAAAGAACGACCCAATGGATACAACAAACTATACACTACTGATTACGAAAAAAGTAAACTCAATTATTGCAAATTATTGGCAATTCCTAGAATGGAATTGGCCTACTGTACATAATAAATATAAACATAGAACTGATTTGAGACATATTAAATTCATAGATAAGATTAAGGATGAATTGTTATCTAAATTAGGTTATGTTGCTGTATTTTATTCTCTAGTAGTTTTATGTACAAACAAGGGATATCCTGGACCTTACTTTGAAAGAAAACAGATTGTTTTTATTATATCATTTAGTCTCTGGAGTATGTGGTGAAAAATTTGAAAAATACTTACCACATAGCACATTTCATATATTTTATAAAAAGTTTTGGATGGATGAGGACAACCACAAACGAATCAACAAAATAGTAAATGATTCAATGAATAACATGTTTTCATCTATCAAATTACGTATTCTATCTGCTAGAAAGCATAATCCCGACTTATTTAAATATGTAACACTTATATTGGATGGCCATGATTCAAGAATTAACTATGTAGATACTGAAACTGACCACTTCAAAGAATGTATTCCTATAAACTTAAGAAGAATGGAATACGTACCCAATTTGTTAGTGATATGAATGATATGATTATATATACTTCTAAAAGTGACTTTTGTTCTGATAGCTCAGATAGTAGCATGTTTTTAAGCATGATATTATTTAAATATATGCATGAGAATGACATAATGGTAGTTGATAGTGGATATACTTTATTTATCACGCAATTTACAGAGCTTGCTGATGAAAAAGGATATAACTTTAGCCATGATAATTTTGTATACCCTATACGTAAAAATGTAAATGGGCCCTTAACGATTACTGATGATCATTTTAATAAGACATTTGGAAGTTTTAGGACAAAAGTTGAAAATTAATTCTCAGAAATTGGGAATAAGTTCTACCGATTCAATAATAACAAATCAGTTGTTAAAATGGATAACATAAAATACTATAATTTGCAATTTCGTGTAGCTTGTTTATTAAAAAATATTACAAAATTTGTAGAAATATTCAATATTCCTATTTTACCATACTATAAAAAGCATAAACTAATTGATATAGTGGTTAGCAATAGAAAACAATCTTGTTTGCATTAAATGACCAAATTTTAGCTATTCATTTTATTTTCAAGTAAATCCATATAATTATCAATAATTGCTGTATCATTAAAATCTTCTTGCCGAATCTATTCATTATGTGAATCATTATAATCTTTCCATTTAATCTAATATTTCATTCGTTTTTTAAATTTCCTATGTTTTATAATTCTTTCAACTTCAAAACTATCATCATCTATATAATTATCATTTTCTATATCCATATTATTTATTGGTAATTCATTGCTATGATTATCATTAAAGTAGTTTCGAATAAATGCATCTTAATGATTAGTCATATCTGTAATTCTTAATATACTGTATCAAACTCATATATAATGCTATTTATATTATTATTTCAACCAATTAAAAAAACTGAATTTGTATATATAATTAAAATAGACAATATTATAAACAATGAACTTTCAAAAATAAATTATAAATACTGGCAATTTTTGGATAAAGATTATCCTATAAAGATCTCTGAATATAAGCATAGAGAAGAAATAAAAAATATATAACAAATATACAGAAAATTAAGCAAGAATTAGTAGATAAATTAGGATACATTCCCATTTTCTTTTTTCTAATAGTTATTTTTAATAAATATGATTATAAAGGTCCATATGTATTTTTAGAAAAAGGTTTATGTTTATTATATCATTTAATAATAGGTAAATCTATAAGAGATATGAATGACTTTACTCCTTATACATCATTTTATGCAATTTATAAAGAATTTTGGAAAATAATAAGAATGATATATATAGAATTATAACTGAATTACTAGAAAATATGTTTTCATCCTCTACTTTGAGAATAATAAATGCAAAAAAGCTTAATCCTATAGGCTTTAAAAATATGACTTTATTTATAGATGGTTATGATAGTCGTATAGATTATAACAGCAAAATTATAAAGAAAAGAAATTTTTATTCATATAAATTCAAGAATTCAGGTTTACGAACACAAGTTATATATGATATTAATGAATTTGCAGTTAATGTATCTGATAGTAGACTATACAGAAATTATAATGATGGGCAAATGTTTTTAGATATGAAGTTGGACAATAAAGTAAATGAAAATGATTGCATAGCATTTGATAGTGGTTACTACTACTATATTAAAAAATTTGTAGAAACTTGCGATAGAAAAGGAAATAATAAAATAAATCTTAATAATTTTATATTTCCTATTAAAAAAACTTAAAATATAGACTTCAATGATAATGAATTACTATACAATGAAACTTTTAGAAGTTTTAGAAGTAAAATAGAATCATGTTTTGGATTTCTTGGCAATAAATTCAAAAGGTCTAATAATAATGAAAGTACTATAAAAGTTACAGATTTAAAAATATATAATGTACAATTAAATTATCACTTCTGTTATTAAATATTCAAAAGTTTTGTCAGTTATATAATATACCTAATAAACCAAATCATCTGTATGGGTTAATGAAAACTTTGATTATCCTAATCCTAATAGAAATCATAATATAAATAGCATTATATATGAATTTGATATATTAAGAATTATAGATATGACTAATCAACAAGATGCATTTATTTGAAACTACTTTA